TTATTATTTTTATTTATTTCATGTTATTTTTTTCTAATTACTTTTATATCTTTTTAACACTAAAACACACACACATACACTGTAACACACATTGATGAAGAAAAAAAAATGATTCTGTTCGCCTTTTTATTTTTTTTCTTCACATACAAATTTTCTCGATTAGATTTTGTTATAATTTCCTCATATTATTTCTTATATTTTCGTTTTTTATCAAAGACTTTTATTGTTGCTTAAGGTTTATTTTATTTTTTAATTAAATTAAGGCTTAATTTTGTTACAAATCGCGTTTACAATAAATAAAATCACTTTTTTCAACTTTTCTTTCGTTCTCACTTTACGTACACAAAAAAACTATTAATATTTAATTCTTGTTGTTTTCTCATATCTCTTTTGGGTTTCTTTTTCGTTTTTCTTATTTTGACAGCCATTTTTTATGTGTTGTTAGCAGGGTTGTATTTTTGACTGTAAGTTAGAGTCCAAATGGTAAGGCAGTCTACCACAATAAGGCAGTGCACGTTATATGTCGGCTATGTTTATTAAAACGCAGTAACAAATAAATGTTTTTTAAGAGTTTAATTGTTTATTTTTCGATTAATTGATAGTTTTATTTGTAAGAATGAATTATAAAATATATAAAAACTTTACTTTGTTAATAAACAAATTGTTTTAATTTCCATAAATTAATGTAGATGTCTCTGCCAGTACTGCAGGTAGACAACCAGCGCCATAACCAAACCCGGTGTCATTTATATAACATTTATGTTTAGTAAAGACATCTACTTTTTTGGTAGAAACCTCACTAAAAATTAATTCTTAAACGACCAAAAGTTCTGCCTAAGTCGTACCACTAACTAACTAACTAACTAACTAACTAACTAACTAACTAACTAACTAACTAACTAACTAACTAACTAACTAACTAACTAACTACTAACTAACTAACTAACTAACTAACTAACTAACTAACTAACTAACTAACTAACTAACTAACTAACTAACTAACTAACTAACTAACTAACTACTAACTAACTAACTAACTAACTAACTAACTAACTAACTAACTAACTAACTAACTAACTAACTAACTAACTAACTAACTAACTAACTAACTAACTAACTAACTAACTACTAACTAACTAACTAACTAACTAACTAACTAACTAACTAACTAACTAACTAACTACTAACTAACTAACTAACTAACTAACTAACTAACTAACTAACTAACTAACTAACTAACTAACTAACTAACTACTAACTAACTAACTAACTAACTAACTAACTAACTAACTAACTAACTACTAACTAACTACTAACTAACTAACTAACTAACTAACTAACTAACTAACTAACTAACTAACTAACTAACTAACTAACTAACTAACTAACTAACTAACTAACTAACTAACTAACTAACTAACTACTAACTAACTAACTAACTAACTAACTAACTAACTAACTAACTAACTAACTAACTAACTAACTAACTAACTAACTAACTAACTAACTAACTAACTAACTAACTAACTAACTAACTAACTAACTAACTAACTAACTAACTAACTAACTACTAACTAACTAACTAACTAACTAACTAACTAACTAACTAACTAACTAACTAACTAACTAACTAACTAACTAACTAACTAACTAACTAACTAACTAACTAACTAACTAACTAACTAACTAACTAACTAACTAACTAACTAACTAACTAACTAACTAACTAACTAACTAACTAACTAACTAACTAACTAACTAACTAACTAACTAACTAACTAACTAACTAACTAACTAACTAACTAACTAACTAACTAACTAACTAACTAACTAACTAACTAACTAACTACTAACTAACTAACTAACTAACTAACTAACTAACTAACTAACTAACTAACTAACTAACTAACTAACTAACTAACTAACTAACTAACTAACTAACTAACTAACTAACTAACTAACTAACTAACTAACTAACTAACTAACTAACTAACTAACTAACTAACTAACTAACTAACTAACTAACTAACTAACTACTAACTAACTAACTAACTAACTACTAACTAACTAACTAACTAACTACTAACTAACTAACTAACTAACTAACTAACTAACTAACTAACTAACTAACTAACTAACTAACTAACTAACTAACTAACTAACTAACTAACTAACTAACTAACTAACTAACTAACTAACTAACTAACTAACTAACTAACTAACTAACTAACTAACTAACTAACTAACTAACTAACTAACTAACTACTAACTAACTAACTAACTAACTAACTAACTAACTAACTAACTAACTAACTAACTAACTAACTAACTAACTAACTAACTAACTAACTAACTAACTAACTAACTAACTAACTAACTAACTAACTAACTACTAACTAACTAACTAACTAACTAACTAACTAACTAACTACTAACTAACTAACTAACTACTAACTAACTAACTAACTAACTAACTACTAACTAACTAACTAACTAACTA